ATGCAGGCCATCCAAATGAACTCACTAAAAGCACCGTAAGTCTGCAATTAGAGTTTTTACAAAAAAGAGCACCTTGGAAAATTTTAGCAGAGCTGGAACACTTCCAGGTAATTTTCAGAGCAAAGGAATGGAAAATATTTTAAAATTGTCAGTTAGCATTCAACAGTTGAAAAAATTAGCACAAATAATATAAAAAACTGCGAGGAAAAAGGTGGTAAAACACAACTTTTTTCCTCGGAGGAAAAAAACTTATCACGCGCGAAAGTACCACCTTCCTGACGTACGATTACAGCTTACGTAGCTCACGACAAAAGCAGCAGTGAATATCAAAAAAAAAAAAAAAAAAAATTAAAACGATTTATAAGTTCGAACGCAGTTGTGCTTCTAAAAAGTAATAGAATGGGGAAAAACAAATTATGAATAAACATTATAGTGATTATTTGATTTAATGCATGGAATTCCAGTAGGCGAGATAACTGAAACGTCTCTAGCAGGTTTAAAACAATATGCTGCAGCAGAAAGCAATTTCGCTGCAGAAGCACCGACAGTGACATGTTGTATAGACTATGCTACAAACTACCGTTAGGCTGACACCGATCCATAACATTCAAGCTTAGCTAGGTAAATGTGGCAACGTGCCTTCTCGACATACTTGGAGCCGCCGTGCCTTGACTCTGCCTAGTCCGTTACTACTCCCAAACCTCGATGAAATGCCCGGATGAGGAATCTGTGCGAGACTGCATTTGGGCTAAATATGAAAATTAAGGCCATAAAATCAGATGGAAAGAAAGAAAGTGACACGATGCAATGGACTGACTTTATGAAGAAGCTAGCAGAAGAACCAGATTATAAATTAGATTAGCGTAACGTGTGAGGGATCAGGATTGCGGACGCGTGGCCGACCGCATGTCACATGTACGAAACGGAATCAAAATTAGACTGCCTGTAGGAATCATTTACAAATGTTTGAATTCAGGCTTCTCACGTTGTGGCTATCATATTATAAACATTTGATGCAGGCTGTTAACCAGTCCCAGGTTTACGACCAAAACACCCGTAAATTGGAAAGGCCGCAAAATTAATCTCAGTGAAGCGCGATTTTCAGTTCATTCACATATACACTAATTCTCATGATGTATATCAATTGGAAAGTTTTCCAAGCGCAAGTTTAATTCAACTAAAATTATTGCCCGATAGCAGAGCAAATTACAGAAAAAAGAATTGGCATAAAAACTTTTTTACTCCG